GAGAGAGAGAGAGAGAGGGAGAGAGAGAGAGAAACATTGGTGAGAGAGAAACATCCTGCATGCCCCCTACTGGAGAATCAAGCCTACAACCCAGGCATGTGCCCTGACCGGAAGTTGAACCAATGACTGTGTGAGCTGCCCTTTTGACATTAAAGGGCACCAACCCTGAGGTCAGTCAGCCCTGGGTTCGAATTTCAGACCTGCTGGGACTCTGGGATAGTTGTAGCAGACAAGCCTGCTTCCTCAGTTGTAAAATGGGGATGAGAAAACCTCCTGTGGAAGTTATGGAAATCGAGTGAGGGAGGGAATGCTATGTGCATGTCCTGCCTAGTGCAGGATATGCACACGGCCACGTGGGCCACACGGACACACACAGGAGCGTGGGACTTCTAGGCCTACACAGGAGGACACCAAAGATGAAGCCAGGTACTGGTGTCTGTAGGGCAGCACCTAGCTTAGCCAGACAAGTCAGTGTGAAATGGAATCAGATGAAGTGTCTGCTCGGGTTATACGGAAAGGGAGTCCTCTGAAGGTCACTGGGCTGTGCTCAGCCCCATCAGCCCAGGGCGGGGACCAACTTCACAAAAGACAGACACAGTCGGCTGTTAAAGGACCCAGGCATCCTCCATCCCAGTGTGACACCCATGTAGCCCAGGACGCAGCAAGCAATCCACATGACTGGTGAGGCCAAGGAGGACTGCAAATCACAGGAGTGATGGGCAAAGCAGGGCTCTGGCAGCCAGAAAATGCTGAGCTCAGCCTATAATTTGCAATCCCAGCGTAGAACAGCACACAATAAAATACACAGCACACAAACAGTCCTTTAGAAATATGTCACTAGTAACATACAAGCCACCTCATCAAAAGCCAGACTTATGCTGAGAAAAACTCCATCTTCCTCTTTTAATTGCTCTACAATTTTTTTTCCTGATTACAAACATATCTCTGTCAATTATGGAATATATAGAAGATATGTGTTAAAAGCAGGAATAATAATAATCCTATATAATACAAGCCTAATATGCTAAGTGTCTAGTCGTCTGTTCAACCAATCAAAGCGTAATATGCTAATGCCACTCAACCGCTTGCTATGATGCGCACTGACCACCAGGGGGAAGACAGTTGACCAGTCGCTATGATGTGCACTGACCACCAGGAGGCAGACACTCCAACCGGTAGGTTAGCTTGCTGCTGGGGTCCGGCCAATTGGGACTAAGTGAGAGGGGCCGGACATGCCCTGGAGCCCTCCTGCAGTCCCTCCCCAGCTGGCCAACCTCTTGCGTACCTCCCTGGCCCAGCAATCATGCACCGGTGGGGTCCCTCAGCCTGGCCTGCGCCCTCTCGCAATCCGGGACCGCTCTGGGGATGTTGGAGAGACCGTTTTGGCCCGATCCTGCTCAACACAGGAGCTGCTCCCTGGTGGTCAGTGCGCTCCCACAGGGAAGTGGGCCTAAGCCATCAGCTGGACATCCCCTGAGGGCTCCCGGATTGTGAGAGGGCGCGGGCCGGGCTGAGGGACGCCCCCACCCGAGTGCACGAATTTCGTGCACTAGGCCTCTAGTTATTTATTTATATATTTAAACCGAACAATCAAATGACCAAACAATCGGTCGCTATGACACGCACTGACGACCAGGGGGCAGACGCTCAACACAGGAGCTGTCCCCTGGTGGTCAGTGCGATCCCACAGTGGGAGCGCTGCTTAGCTGACTGACAGGCTCCAGATGCCGGGTTCACAGCTGGCAAGTGCAGCTGTAGCGGCATGAGCTTCTCCCACCTCTGCCTTAGTGCTACTGAGTAGTGGCGGTGGCAGGCGTAAAGGGGCTGGGAAGAGCGGGAGTGGCACAGTGCCTCGCTCGGGCTCGGACTCCTCCCTGGCCACCTGCTGCTTCGTGGGATGTCGGACTGCCGGTTTTGGCCTGATCCCTTGAGGGTTCCCGGATTGCGAGAGGGTGCAGGCCAGGCTGAAGGATCCCACCAGTGCACAAATCTGTGCACCAGGCCTCTAGTAATAATAATAATAATAATAATAATAATAATAATAATAATTCTGCTTTCTACAAATCATCAATAGTTTGGTATAGTTTAAAATATTTATATTTTTCTATATACTTGAGATTATATATATAGGACTGTATCCTGTTTTTTCCCACTTACCTCATAAGCATTTCTCCAAACCAAGAAAACCTTTTGTGTAGATTCTTCATCCAGGTATACAGTATAATTTACTTACACATGCCCTTATATTTAAACACTGAGGTTGCTTTTATTTTCTGCCATTATAAAAACTGTGTGATAAACATCTTTCTGCATAAATCTTTGTCCTGATTTCTAATTATTTCCTCAGCTAGATTCCTGAGAAGGTGGGGTGGGAACTATATCAAGCAAGTGGCATGGACATTTTTCCCTCTTCCTTTGAAAAAAAAATATTTTTATTGATTTTTAGAGAGTGTGGAAAAGGAGAGGGAGCAACATCGATGAGAGACAACATCGACCAGCTGTCTCCTGCATGTCCCGTGAGCACCTGCAACCCAACTCAACCCCACCCAGGCATGTGCCCTGCGAGAATCAAACCAGTGGCTTCTTGGTGCATGGTCGACACTCAACCACTGAGCCACACTGGCCGGGCAGGGGCATGGACATTTTAAAGCCCCTGATACATTCTGGTCAACTGAAAGCCCACTTTTCATTCAATGTAAACTTCCTTTTTTAATAGTTACTTTAAATGAGAACAAGATGAGTAGCATTTAGGGCAGTGATGGCGAACTTTTTGAGCTCAGCGTGTCAGCATTTTGAAAAACCCTAACTTAACTCTGGTGCCGTGTCACATATACAAATTTTTTGATATTTGCAACCATAGTATAAAAAAGATTTATACTTTTGATATTTATTTTATATATTTAAATGCCATTTAACAAAGAAAAATCAACCAAAAAAATGAGTTTGCGTGTCACCTCTGACACACGTGTCATAGGTTCGCCATCACTGATTTAGGGTTTGGACAGAAAGAAGGGGATACAAGACAAACCCCAATGTTACAGGGCCAAGCAGAATGGGCTAGGAATCCTTAGAAAAATAAATCCCAAAAGAGAGTGCTGTGAGCTTTGGCAGAGGGAGTGAGGAGTCCATCTCAATGAAAGCAAATGGGATTGTTTTTACGGGGAAGGTAAGTTCCAAACTGTGCCTCAAGGGGAGCCGAGATGGGAAGGGGAGGAGGGGCAGGCCAGGTAAAGAGCCAAGACAGGGATTCTGGAAGCATGTGCAGAGGTGACGTGCGAGAAGATGGGAGCCTCAGTGGGGCATGCCTCCCACATCACGGGGGGCTCCCGGCCTCTCACTGGAGGCTCCAGCATTCCCCAGAGGCACGGAGTGCCCAGCACCTATGCTGTTTCCTGCCTTTGTGCCTTGCTCAGCTGCCCTTCTGCCCAGAAATGCCCCCAATTCCAGATAACCTACTGATCCTATGAGTCTCGGTACAAGTGTCTCCTCCTCCAGGCAGCCTTCCTATTCTATGCCTGGACTCATCACCATTTACAGCCTGTCTCCAGCTCAGGTCTAGGGTGGGGGCAGGCTATCTCTGTTCTCAGCCGGAGCCCAGAGCCTGGTCCGGGGCAGTGCTGAGTGAGCATCTCTAGACCCCTATTCGGAGTGACTGCTGAGCCAGAGATGATTCAGAAAGGAGGCAAAGGCTGAGAATGATCACTCCTGTGCTCATGACCTGGGCAGGGGGAAGAGCCCATGCAGTCAGGGGGAGAGGCGGAGAGCAGAAGAATATAATAAACACTGTATAAGCTGGTTACACAGGACACTCTATAACTCCTTCCTTCTTAGATTCCTGCTCCAGTACACAGTTCCCCAAACTGGCCGTAAAGCCTGTCCCCAGAGTGACCGTGAAACACCCAGGTTCCCAGGAGCCATTCCCACTTGGGCGGTCTGGGGTGTGGTCTGGGAATTCGTGTTTTTAACAAGCCTCACAGGTGATTCTGCTGCGAGGGATCCTTTGACCGGCATTTGGGGACTACCGCATGAAACCTTTGGGGCCTGGTGGCATTTTCAAGTCCTTTTAGAAGGTTGTTTCCCAGTCTGTGTTCTGGGGAGCACTAGTTGTGAGAATTACTAACATGCACCAAAAAGAGTTTCATGACTAAAACATGACAATGGCTGCTATTTCCTTTTCCTGTGGGGTCACAATGCTCATGAACATAATAAAGGCTCTGAAAAGGCCTGCAGTAAAGAAACCATTTTAGGTTTGTTTAACCATGACATTCCCAAGCCCGACTGATCTGGAGATAGTGTCCCACCAACCAAAGTTGGGAGAGCTGCAGATGGGCTGCTGGAATTTCAGCCCACTGGGAAAGTAATTAATTCCCTCTTGTGTCAAGTCCTGCCCTCCCATCACCTGGTGTTCCTGTTTGTTTGCAAGAGGGGGCCCTGCATTTGACTCCCACCCCAGTACCATAGCTGCCATTAGAGAAAGAAGGTACTCTGAAATCATAGCTGACAAGGTTCGATCATACACCAGGAGTTGACAACAGGGTACAAACCCAGGGTTACAAACTGAAAGGACAATCCAAATCAACTTTAAATTCCCTTAAAAACAGGTCTTCTTTCCTGAGTAAACCACTGAGTTACACTGTTGTATTAGTTTCTCAGTTTAAGGGTTATAATGGCACATTTTGTATTCAACAAGAAAAAAAAACACACGCACCCTGAAAAAAACAAAAAGGACAAAACAACAGAACAGAAAGGCTAAGGCTTTTAAAAGAACCCCAGCACCACTCACCCATTTATCCCTGTGTAGCCCTGACTGTAATCCATGTCACAAGCATAAGTCACAGGGTAGGTAAACCCCTCTGGGGCAGGAAATCCCAAGTTAGCATAATGATTTACAAGGGGTGGTGGCAGACTGACTAATCTGACCATTCAGCCTGGGAAGCGTCACCCCAACCAGGCAGGCCCCAGAGGTTCTCCCTCCCACAGAGGAGGGGGTCAGTACCCACCTGCGGGTGCTGGGGAGACAGCTCTGCCTTGGCCCCGACCTTCCTCCTGGGGCAGATATCTGAGTAGTTCGCTGTGATGATGCCTGTGTTGTAAACATAAGGCTCAGGGTGTGTCTGTGCGGCCTACTGTCCCCCAAAGCCACCCAGGGGCTCCCAGATGTTACGTCTCAGCCTGCTTCTGTCCATTTTAGGTAGCACATTCCACAATTATTTGCTGAGGACCTACTATGTGTCAGGCCCTGTGCCAGGTGCTAGACAGAAAGCAGACACTGTGGGGTCGTCCAGAGAGGCCTATCCAAGACAGTTTGTGGCCTTCTGTGAGCCCAGCATGAAAGGGGAGGAAATTAGCATATTCCTACTCTTCACATTTTTTTTCAATATCTCACTTTTTAAAAAGAATGAGTAGGGGTTAAGGACATGGCTATTAGAATCAGACAGATCTGAGTTCAAAACACAAATTTTCATTTGTAAAGCGGGGATAAAAACCCACTTTTTAGACCAGTGATGGCGAACCTATGACACGCGTGTCAGAGGTGACACGCGAACTCATTTTTTTGGTTGATTTTTCTTTGTTAAATGGCATTTAAATATATAAAATAAATATCAAAAATATGTCTTTGTTTTACTATGGTTGCAAATATCAAAAAATTTCTATATGTGACACGGCACCAGAGTTAAGTTAGGGTTTTTCAAAATGCTGACACGCTGAGCTCAAAAGGTTCGCCATCACTGTTTTAGACTTTTGTGAAGGTAAATGAGCAGAAGGCACTGGCCCACAGCTCAATCCCAAAAAAGATGCTCACTCTTATCGTAAGTTACTATCTTAGAACTAGAGAGAGTGATGGCTAAGAGTCTGGCTCCAGGCCAGGCTGCTTGGGTTGGATCCCAGTTCCCCACCAGGCCTGCTGTGAATCCCTGAGCGAGGGTTTCAGGGCTCTGTGTGAAGGTTCAGCATCTGTGTGATGAGGAATAATGACAGTGCCTGCCTCCAACGGGTGGTTATGAACATTAAAAGAGCTGTACATGCAAAGTGCACTGAACAGTGTGCACACAGAGCAAATCTCGTTACACGTTAGCATTTCAAATATGATTAGCCTCACCAATTTGGCATGCGTGGCTCTTTTAGCATTCTGTCTTCTGCAAATCAAGAGATTTCTTCTTTTTTTTAAAAAAAAATCAGACACAGATAATCACTATGTCATATCAATTTGATCTTCCATCTCCTACCTACTGTACTATGCACTAACTAGAGCTGTACTTGAGAGGGAGCAGTGCCTGATGGTAAAAGCATATGCTTTGCAGCCAGGGCAGGTGGGTTCAAGGTTAGGTTCTCCTGCATGTCTGATCCTGGAAGGGTAACTAACACCCTCGGAGCATCACTGACCTTGTCTGTTAATTGGTCATGAAAGTTCATGCCGGCCTCATCTCCGCTGAGTATCCCAAGAACACGAAGAAGGAAGTGCTCTACCCTGCCAAGTGCTGGGGAAGAGGCTCAATGCTGATTATTACTGGGGGTGGGCTCAGTGTAAAGATGAAGTTCTAGCATTAGACTGCCTGGGTTGGAACTCTGGCTCCAGCTTGTAGCTGTGCAATCTTGCTGGGTTTCTTATGCAATCTGCCTCCAGTTTCCTCATCTGTAGGATGGGGTATAATGACAGCCCCATCCCAGAGAGCTGCTATGAGGATTAACTGAAGAGCTTAGCACCGGCCCATACACAGAAAGTGCCCAATAAATGTTAGCTGTTATTATTATTGTTGTCAGCCTATCTTCCCCATAAGATTGTGAACAGGGAGCGCATCTAATTCATCCTTATAGTCTTACTACTCAGGAACTGCTCACCCAGAGTCAGCTAAATTCAGGAATGATAGAAGGAGTGGATAAAGAATACATTTAATTCTGGTCCAAAGTCCTTCCTGATAATCTCAGAGACTCAGCTAAATTTTCTTAAGGCCTAGCTGTGCTCCCATATTGCCTTTCTGCTTTGGTTTTAGTAAGCTTCATCTCTACAGTTTCACTCCTGGCTTAGTCTGAAATCTCACATCAGATTGAAGTAGGTTTGGGTCTCACTTCCGCTTGCTTACTGCAGGACTTTGAGTATGTCCCTGACCCTTTCAGAACCTCCATTTCCTTATCGGTAAAATGGGACTAAACCCACCTACTTCTCAGAGTTGCTGAGTTGATTAAATGTTATATACATGCAAGCACCTAGTACACACACTAGGTGATCAATAAAAGTACTGATTGTCATTTAGTTTACTTACCTTGAAGCTTCTACTTCAAGTTAACCTATTTTGAGTATTAGCTAGATCTCTAAACTCTGGTGTGCAAATGGTTACTTACAGTGTGAATGCCTCTTCCTCAGAGATCTCCACTCTGCCTCTGTGGGAAGTGGCCATCACTTCCTCTTGTTGCCTGCCTGAGTGGTACCCTGGTGTGCCTCGCCCTAAGCCTGAGGACTGACCCTAGGAGCACATTCTCTATGTCCTAAGAAGCCCCAATAGTCTCTGGGGACACCTGATCTAAGGGTCACTGTGGCAGGAGCAAAGTCAGCCACATGGTGTTCCCACCTGCAGATCCCTGGTTTTGAAGATGGCCATGAGCCTGGCTTCAGGGTCCAACAGACTGGGGCTCCATCATTTGCCTCCTTGTTGTGTGACTATGATAAAGTTAGCTTCTCTAAACCTCAGTTTTTTCATCTGTAAAGTGAGGACAACAGAAGATCATGTTTGCGAAGGGGTACATGAGATGATGATGGACCATATCAAGTCACGTGACCAGGGTTCTCCTCCCACAACATGGGGAAAAGGTGAGTGAGATATAAGTTATCAGATGCCCTAAAAACATGAAAGCTGGCCTAGACTTAAAAATAAACAACCTGATAAGGAGAAAAAGAATCCTCAATAAGCCCCACAGTGAGTTTACTTTACAGTGATATTTGTCACTGTTACTATGATGGAAATCCACTGTTGACTCTATCAGGAAGATATTAAATGGAGCAAAGGATTTATCATGCCTTCTAGAAATCACCTAAATTTACAATTAACCAGATTTTCAACCTTAAAAAAAAGAGCTTCTGGTAGTTTTAGATAAACATTAGTAATCAAACAAATTTTCTAATGCAATGAATAAAAGTGGAGATGAAGCTCACTCCAAATATTGAAAACATATCTGATAATCAGCTACCTAATAAAATGGTGTTGACTATCTGTATCAGGGGCTTCTCAACCTTGACTGCACAAAATAAATCATTTGGGTAGCTTTTAAAAATTACCCGTCTGCCCTAACCGGTTTGGCTCAGTGGATAGAGCGTCAGCCTGTGGACTCAAGGGTCCCAGGTTCGATTCTGGTCAAGGGCATGTACCTTGGTTGCGGGCACATCCCCATTAGGGGGTGTGCAGGAGACAGCTGATCGATGTTTCTCTCTCATCGATGTTTCTAACTCTCTATCCCTCTCCCTTCCTCTCTGTAAAAAAAATCAATAAAATATATATTTTTTAAAAAATTACCCATGCCTATACCCCAACCCAGACGTATCATAATCGTGTGTGTGTGTGGGGGGGGGGGCGGGGGGTGTTTAGAATTTTTTTTAAAAAGCTTCCCAGGTGATTCCTACAGCAGGGTTGAGACCACTGGTTTGGACAGATCTCTGTATTAATGAAAAGCCTGAAAAATCTGGCCACAGGTTAAGATCACCAGGGAACTCTTAAAAATCCTGGGGTAAGACTCAGGCATTGATACTTTCGAAAGCTCCTAGATGATTCAATGTGCAGCCAAGGTCCTTAAAAAAAATGTGTTTGGTAAAATTTAGCAAACACCTGCATTTTTCAGCAGAAGCACTAGTAATATGATGTAGTACTGTGGTCAGTTCCTATTTATCCAAGAATGGCTTCTCTGTTTTGAGGATAAATTACAGGCCAGTGTTAGGGATGCAGGGAAGGTAGCAAACATTAAGCATCTACCAGAAACCAAGTGTTTTTTCCTACGCTATCTCACTTACTTCACACTGTGCCCCAGTGAGGTAGGTGGTGTCACCCCCATATTATTAGGTGAGCAACTGAGGCTCAGAGAGGCTGACTCACTTACATCAAGTCACTTAGCTAGTAAACTGGGCTCCAAAAGCGGGGCCCTAGGCCACACTCCACAGCATCTATCTGTTTCTGCTTACGTCTCAAGCTAAATGATCTGTTGGGTTGTCTATTGTTTTGTTTCCATTTCCTTGTTATCCTAGATGAATGAGAGCTGACTATAGGGCTTATTCTGAATGATGATCTAGGTGGAAATTCATTCCTTCTGTTAAAAAAAGAGAGAGCACATGTCCTAACAATTATTTCATATTTGCTCTCCTTTTAACTTGGCAGCAGGTTCTGAAGTAGCACTGGAACTGCTGAACGCTTTAGCTGGTTCTTTCCCCCCCAGAAGGTAAATAATAAGCACCAGGGTATGTAGCTAACTGTTTACTCCAACTTTTTCTCCCAAGTGACTTTGAAAATAAGTAAAAAATGAAAAGCTTCCTGCTTCTCTAGCAAACTCTCAGTGACGTTTCCCAGACACAAGCCTAACCCATCGTCCTAACATGCAGGGCTTGCCAGGGCTTTTACACAGCAAATTACTTACCCTGAATACTAACAGCAACTCCAAAAGGGAAAAAAAAGTCATGTAACTAGTTCTAGATTCATAGGCCCTCTCACCCCGCTCCCCCATTTTAAAGTCTGGATTTATAGAACCCAGGACTTGTATAATTAGAAAAGATAGCTATTATGTACCCACAGTTTTCAACCTACTCAATGCTGACAATAATGAAAGGTCCCACTTACTGAATATTCTTATGTGGTTCTGGGTCAGAAAAGTTATTTCCATCTTTAAAATCCTAATTAGGATTTATTGTCCCCATTTTGCAAATGAGAAATGTGTCTCAGAGAAGTTAGGTCACGTGCCTAAAGTCAGTGAGTGCCTAAAGCTACACAGTGGTGGCACTGGAGCCTGATGATACATACAACCTGCTGAAACAAGACTGGGCGTTTCCAGAAAGCCCATCCCAAAGGGCAGTGGTTTGTGATTTTTCTTCAGGACCTCTCTGAGATCCTGGGCCTGTTGGTCTCTCTCTCCCTCTAGGGCAGCGGTTCTCAACCTGTGGGTCACGACCCCTTTGGCAGTTGAACGACCCTTTCACAGGGGTCGCCTAAGACCATCCTGCATATCAGATATTTACATTATGATTCATAACAGTAACAACATTACAGTTATGAAGTAGCAACGAAAATAATTTTATGGTTGGGTCACAACATGAGGAACTGTATTTAAAGGGCCAGACGGTTGAGAACCACTGCTCTAGAGTGAAGCACTTCTTGGATTTTGGCTGTGAAGGCCTGGCTGAAGCCCCACTCAACACTCCATCCCCACTTTTCACCCCCGGGCCCTGCAGACATGTCCCATGGCCCCGGGTTATCTCAGGAAAGCATGCCCACTGTTACCTCAGCACCTTCACCGTCTCCGTCCACTGCGCCTGCTCACTCTCCCAGGGGTCCACCCGGATCCAGTCGGACGTCTGCAGGGCCAGCCGGACCATGGCCACTCGGTGGTGGGCAGCTGCAAGGTCTTTTTTCCTGTAGTTGTCACTGACAGGAGAGATGATACCCCCGATCACCTGGTACGTTCCTAGGCAAAGTAGAACAGTGGTGTTGCTCGCCACCTGCCTGAATTCAGGCAGGTGCTCAAAATCTCCGTGCCTCAGCCTGGCATTCTCTGCTGAGTGGCCAGCTCCCTTAGGCATATCCTTATTTTAAGGATATGTTACTGCCTACGTATTTATTACTCTTACATACCTTTATGTGAATTGAGCATCTTTAACTCTAACAATACTTCTTGACTTAAAGTCGTTATGTCTGATATTAATGTAGCCTCAACAGCTTTATATATGCACTAGAGGCCCGTCGCACAGAGATTCGTGCAATAGGCCTTCCCTTCCCCTGGCTGCCGGCACTGGTTTTCCTCCGGCACCCGGGACCCAGGCCTTCGCTCCTCCAGCCGGAGCCTTCAGTCTTCGCTGCTCTGGCCCGAGCTTTCAGTCTTCACTCTGCCACTTCGTGCCTACGTATGCAAATTAACCGCCATCTTTGTTGGGTTAATTTGCATACTCCCCTGATTGGCTGGTGAGCGTAGCGGAGGGACGGTCAATTTACATGTTTGTCTATTATTAGGTAAGATGGTATTTTTTTTTAATAACCTTTCTCTTTCAACCTACCGATGCTTATGTTTCAAACACGTCTTTTGTAAATAGCTGAATTTAAAAATATTTTGGTCAAGTTTGACAATTACTGATTTGTAACTGGAACATTAAATTTACCAACATTTAATGTAAATGTTAACATATTTAAGTTTCAAGCTACCATCTTTTATGTTGAGTTTTTTTTTGTCACAAGCTTTATGTTTTTTTTCCTTTTCTGCCTGTCTTTGGACTTCATTTCATTTTTTTCCTCTCAGACTAAAACTTACATATGCAGTCTTATATCCAAAGTAAATTAAGACCTTTACCCTCTTCCTCAACAACACAAGGACTTCAGAACTCTGTAACTCCATTTAATATCTCCTTACATGTTATTGCTGTAGATATTTTAAGTCTATTTATCCCCCTAACCTTAATAGACCATATTATTGTTTGATACACCGATCACATTTAAATTAAAAAACCCTTTTATTTATTTTAGAGAGAAAGGGAGAGGGAGAGGAAGAAACATCAATGATGAGAGAGAATCATTGATTGGCTGCCTTCTGCACGCCCCACACTGGGGATCGAACCCACAACCCAGGCATGTGCCCTGGCTGGGAATCAAACTGTGACCTCCTGGTTCATAGGTCAACACTCAACCCTGAGCCATGCCAGCCAGGCTGTTTTTATTGATTTTAGAGAGAGAGGAAAGGAGAAAAAGGAGAAATATCAATGTGAGAAACATTGATCAGTTGCCTCCTATATGCTCCCCACCTGGGGATGGAACCTGAAACCTGGGGATGGAACCTGAAACCTGGGCATGTACCCTGACCAGAAATCAAACCCACGACCCTTTGTTGTCACAGGCCCTTTGTTGCCACAGACGATGTTCCAACTGAGCCACCCGGCCAGGGCGAAAGCATAACTTTTAAAATCTGTATATGACCAATGCCGATTTCAAAGTCTGTACAGGTTGTTTTTGTGGCCTGTTGTTTCTTATTTATATTGTTTCATTTTTATTTATATTGTTTCATTTGTGCCTATTTTTGACTGCTTGCTGGTCAATGTCTCTAACTAGTTACTTGTAGAGGCTCCCCAGGCCTAAGATACATATATTTTCTTCCAGAAAGGCTTCATGTTTGCTTTTGACAGGCACCTGGAGTATAAGTCACAGATGACCTTAAATCAAGCTCTTGGTTTGAGCTTCTTTGGCCAATCCAGGCAAAAAGTTGCAAATCTGAGCAAAGGCTGATGTGTGACCATTTTTTTCTGGCAATGTTTTATCCTTTTGTTTTCTTCTCCTACTTGCCTTAGTACCGAGGCAACAAGGCTTCTGTGAAGTCCTCTAGGGTTGGGGAAAGGCGGTGGGTTAAGATGCAGTTCACCCTGGCTCCTTAGAGGTCCAGCTTAATGTGTGGGAAGTCACCCATAAGGCTCCCCAGCTTGGCAGGCTCCAGCCTTTGAACAGTTTCCCTCTTGGCCTCTATGGCCATTGATTTAATGCTAAGTGAGCAAGTGTCTGTAAGACATCAGTGGTTCTGGAGTTCTAGTAACCTACTGATCTCCATGGTTACAGGTGTTTCTCTCTCAGCTGGTCGGAGACATCCACACTTTTCAGCTTTAAAAGTGAGGTTTGCAAATGTTCTATCCACCATTTATTGTTGTTTTAGTGGGAGATGATCCGAAGTGCAGCCTGCCCCTGGAAGCTGGAGGTTCTTTGAGGCATTTTCCCAGTCCTGGTAACCTGGTTGCCTAGGGCCCTCCTTCAAGAGGCAGCAGCACTCACTGCTCCAGGGGGATGGCAGAACCAGGGGAGAATAGAAAGGGGACATCCAGCTTCTGAATTCCAGCACTGGCTGCTAAAACTCATGTTCAGAGGAACACTGTGAAGGCTAAAGCTTTCATTTGTAAGAGTCAGACTTTGTTGAGAGAGAAATATTTAAGTTCCAAAAGTTACCCTTAAAAAAACAAACAAAAAAAAAAACCAACAAAAAACAAAAACCAGAGCCCAGGGAGTCAGAGCACACAGTTTTACTAAAACCCAGAGTAGTAAGAAGGAGAGACTATGAAAATGGAAAAGAAAGGCCCTTTCTGGGCTGAGGGTGGAGGAGTGAGCTGCAGACATAGAGAAGAGCCTAGTAGAAAAGCTTGTGGTGATGGAGTTTAGACACAAGTGGAGACCTGCTCCTTACACCCTCTTATCCTTCAGAGACAAAACCTGGTGCATGGTGGGTGGGGGAGGGCCTGGTTAAGAGGCCCAATTAGGTTGGGAACTGCAGATCTGGTGGCTTGTATTTTGCTTCCCACTTGGAATTGGAGGAGACCATCTTGCACTGCCCTGTGCCAATACAGCGCCAACACAGCAGCAATGGTGGTGTGGCACGCATGGGCAGAGAGGGCTTCAGAAAACTTCCCCTCCCCTGCCCTCCAAGTCCCTCTCAGCTGCAGCAGGGCATGGCAGAGATCCATAAAAACTCCCCAGGCTCCTTGAGAGGAGTAGTGAAGGAGGCTGAGGAGAGTCAGCAGGGTTACTTGCGGGGAGATAGGGTACAGGGCACCGAGTGTGCAGCCAAAGGCAGGAACCATGGTGTTGGGAGTACCATGGAGGGCCCAGGCAGCAGCGGTAGTTAGTTTTGAGCCACGGGACGCTGAGGAGGCTTCCATTGTGGAGGCACAGAGGACAGAGGCCAGTGCCAAGGTCGAGGGCAGCCCCCTTGGCTAGAGGGCATTCGGGGCCAGATGCCCCTTTTCGGATGCCAGGATGATATGCTCCTACGAAGCTTAACTCAATCTTGGGGAAGTAGGCAGGAAGAGATTAACTTGATTAAACACTGTAAGAGTAAGCCTAATATCTGAAAATAGTTATCTTGAAGTAGAATTTTTTTTTTTTTAATATTCATGGAAATGGTGGCTTAAGAGCAAGTTGAGTGTTGTAGAAAGCAAAGAAAGTTATATTTCTACACATCTGAGTCCCATGTTATACATGGAACTGGTTAAGTTCTTTCTCTTTCCCTTTTAGAAGAGAACTAGATTCTGCTAGGTGCTAACTCTCTTGGGCAATTTACATACATTTAACCTTCACATTTGTCTTTGTTTTACTGAAGAAAACAGGGTGTGAGGCACCAGGGTCCCTTCCAGGTGGTTCTGCTAGGCACTTGGATACTCAGGTGCCACCTGTGATGGTTTAGCTCGTCTTGACAGGGCAGGTCGTATGCTGAGAAATCACTGCTGTGATACAGCACTCAGGGGAGGAGAGTCAATAAAAATAACAGTTTGGGCTAAAACTCCTTCTTGCCCTTTGAATGGTCATGAGTTCAAGCCTTTTTCCTCTTCCACAATCCCAGTTTTTCCTCTTTTGTGACCTCCCCTCTTCCAATTGTTAGATGCAGGTACTTCTCTGGTGACCCCACTGCTACCCAGACACACCTCCATTACGGCGCTTGTATGATAATGATCTGTTTGCCTTAGTCTTTCCCATGAGACTGATGGCTCCCTAAGGGCTCATAATTGTCTTCATTCTGGTAACATGCCCAGAACATTGCTTAGTATGAAGTTATACTGTCCTTACCTTGAGGTTACCATAGTAATACATGGCTGTGAGTTTAATAAGGTGGATAGAGCTCTTTGTTTATCTCCACCCCCTGTGGAAAATCTAATACAATGGCAATAAAGGAATAAAAGAAGTATGAAATCACAAGGGCAAAGTGAGTGAGAAAGTAGACAACAATGGATGGAAAGTGAACAAAATTTTGGAAGCTAGAAAGCTGATGAATAATGGTGACAGCAAGCAGAGTCTGCAGGCAGGGAAGGTGGTAAGAGGGAAGGTGCCCTGCTAGGCAGAGCCCAGAGCAGCTCAGGAACTGCAGGAGCCAGCAACCTCTCTGGGTGGGGCGCCCGAGGGCTGGAACTAGTCGAGAGTTTGCCTAAGGAGCCCTTAGATCTAATCACCTACCTTTTTCTCCCATCCTGGCTGAAGGCCATAGGTCTGCTTTCTGCTGAGGTTGGACCAGAAAGATTCTTTTTTTTAATTGATTTCAGAGAGGAAGGGAGAGGGAGAGAAACATCAATGATGAGAGAGAATCATTGATTGGTTGCCCCTGCATGCCCCAAACTGGGGATGGAGCCTGCAATCCAGGCATGTGTCTGACTAGGAATCGAACCACGACCTTCTGGTTCATAGGTCGACACTCAACCACTGAGCCACATTGGCCGGGCCATAAAGACTCTTGACTCCCAGATACAGGCACAGTTGAGAGGAGGACTAAGTTTGGCTCCCACTATAAAGACTGGAGATGTCTCTCTGGGAAATAGGCCTACCCAAGAGAAGACAGCTACAGATACTCACATTTGGGGGTCTTAGACCTAGGACCTGGTCCTATGGCCATGAGCCCCACCAGCTTCACCCACACACCCAGAGCCTCCAGCCAGCATTTGCAGCCTGACCTGAAAA